AGGAATGTGAGCAGAGTTAGTCATGGAGATAAGAGAGATGTTAGGGGGTGTAGGAAGGAATTGATTTTGATCAATTTGGTCTCGTGTGCTGTTACGGGCATGACGGAGGTTGTCACTTCCCAGCTGCCAACACCGTGGAAGAAACGATGATAGTGAGAGTTAGGGGATGTCGAAAGAACATTTTGGCACTATATTCATAGGAATCAATAATAATTAATCTACTGAATCCCTGCTTAATGAAAAAATGAGAAGTAAAATGATAGGAAAGTAGTAATTTAAAATGTGAATTGACTGACACACTATTTAAAATATATTACAGTCAAACAAATAAATGTATATATACTTCTTTGAAAACTTGAACAAAGTTTTGTTTTACACTAATAAATTATTATTTATTCTTTCATATTTTAATCTCAACAGATCAGATCAAATGCAACGTAGAACTTCGTACACAAGTACATCAGTTCATGTTGCCGTACCACATCAGCACAGAGATATAATTGTCAATTCGTATCCAATAGTAGAAGAGGTAGTAAGGGTATTAGAAGTAATCGGAGAGGTTAGGATTAGAGGATATTATTCAAGAAGCATAATTCAGTGAGATAAGTTTAGAAAGTCAAAAGTAGAGGGGTTGAAGAATCCAGAAGATTAGGGTTTGAGAGAACACAGAGAATAAATGCACCGGCGCGATTGCGAACGATTTTGAGCCATGTCATTCAAGGTCTCTAACCATCGATTATTATCATCTCGCGGACCCCAACCAGGTAGTCGATAATTACCGACATGGCTAAGTCCACTCGTCAATGACTTCATGGATTTCTGCCATGTTTTGTTTTGGCCGCCCCTAGCTTTCTTCCAACCTACTCCTACATCACAAAACATGGCTCGTCAAGGCAGTCGGTGGTTGGGCATTCGTAACACATGTCCCAACCACCTCAAATGATGAAGTTTCATTACTTCATCTATTGATCTGCCATTCTTACCTAGCACCCGATTCCTAATAACAGAGTGGCTCACTCGGGTGTCCCACGATATACGAGCAATGCTTCGAAGACACCTATGATCTCAACAACAGTATGACTATTAGCTTTACCTGGTAAAGGTTAGTAGTAATAGTGTTGATGTATGTAATGCACTCTAATTTTTCTCTCAAGTACGACATAACTAAAATAATAAATTTAGATGAATGTTCATCATACGAATATTTGTTTCATGCATAAATAGACATGAATAACAATAATACAATTATCGAAATATTCTTTTTTCTTTTTTTAAACAACCAATTCAAGTCAATGAAAAATCAATATGAAATCTAATAATCATAAGTTTTTAATAAATAAAAAAAGAAAGAATAGATAGACATTGTGAGATAAATTATTTGATGAATGATGACTATTTTAGTGAATAATAAAGATAGAATGATTGTCAACATTATTTGACATTAAGAAAAACAGCATGATGACTCTGAGTAGAGTAGAGTAGATAGAGGAATGACAGAGGGCCTAATAAAACTATCAATTCATAACTATTTGAATACATTAGTTATTTTGTAAAAAAAAAACACGCTAATGAAGATGAATTGTTTTCATGATGTTTGCATCCATCATAGAGAACAGGAGTTAAGTGTGTGAAAGAGTAGGTTGGTAGATAGGTACTATAGGCACAAAATCAAATGTCACACTACATTGACAATAAGTGTAGTCAGGCAATATGATAAATCACTCAACAATAAAAACTTAGCTTGAAGCTGTTCAATGTATTACGTTGAGCTATAGACTTCTTGAATAATAATCCTCGAGACCTAATCACTCCGATTACTGCCAATACTTTTATTACGTCTACTACTACTATGGGATTTGAATTGATAATTACAAACTATGTGTTGATGTGGTATGGCAACTTGAACTGGTGAATGAATGTACGTACGAAGTTTTAGGTTGCTGTTGATTGATTGGTGATTGATAGACTTTTAGACTCAGTTCATCGAAGCGACGTAAAACTTGGTACATAAGTATATCAATTTAACGTTACCACATCACATATCAGCACAGAAAAGTGAAAACATCAAGATTGATTGACTTCAATTTCCATAATATTAGATTTTAGAGTTTTGTACTAGTTTCAATGACTTTTTTTTTTCATTATGCCATCGATTTCACATCAATAATGTTTAACTAACTGACTTATTTTAGTAATTACGACATTGGTATTAATAACGGTTTAAAGATTGGATGAACGAAATTCTTATTTGTTGAAGGGAATTGTGATCGACAGATGATAAACAATGATATGAAATGTTGTGTAGTGAAATGTGGTAATAGTGATGCGTAAGTCAACATTATTGATATGAATCGCCAAATGAGTTAAAATCAAAGACAAGACAACTAGCCAGAAGTGAAGGTTTATTAACTAACACAATGACATGCTTATCTACATAACAGTGAGCTAAACTAAACACAGGAAAATCTCAATAGTCATTGAAGAGGATACGTTTGTAGGTCACTCACACACCTGACTGTTAGACTTAGTTCCTGTAGATAGCAACAAAGTTATTTCAATGAAGTGAAGACTACCGTAACTATTCATTCTTATTCTGCATTATTGTCAATCAAATGCAAAGTTAGAAAACTGTAAACGAACAAGAGGGTCGACATTTCAAAGAAGCATAATACATTTTATTTCCTATAGCTAACCTCTTAAAGGTGACAGAAAATTAACACAACGGTTTGAATAGGGATATTCTCATATATCACTTCATATTCTTACGTTGCCCCTTCCAGTCAACATTAGTCGGTGAGACCGTCTAGAAAAGAGGCATATACGAAACAGGGCACAACTACCAGAATATAACAGTCGTTTTTACGGCAGGTTTACTGGCCTTATCTCTTGTCCAGTGAGTGCTGACTACCATTTAACAGTGATTGATCGTGCTTTTGCACGTTGGAAGTGTATTTTTACAGTTTGAAAGGTCAGTCGTATAGATTGGTTGCAGTGTTTTGCGTAATTCGAAGTGTTTGTGTGATATACCATTTGCGTTGTTGACATACTTCGTGTATATCGTAAATGGTAGTATTGTACATTTTGTTTTATCCAATCAGCAATCTTGCATGTTTTGTTGCAATCTTCTAGAGGATATTTATGTCGGTCAAATTGTGTAGTGGTCGAAGTGTTAGGCCGGTGGCCGATTTTTGTGCCTGTTCATTGCCTATCTGATGGGAAAAATTTAATTACAGTTTTCACTGAGACGCCTGTGTATGAGATGTTGTTTTCCAATTGTTTTGGGGTTATGTCCTTCACTTTGGTCAATTTTGACTTTACTTGGATTGCATACCTAAATCAGTGCCAGAGTTCTCCGAAATAATTCTTCATGTGCGCTCTTTTGTTGTTGCTTCGATCACTAATTTGACTTCTTTACGTCCTGACTAAAAGGTTATTTGGTTAAACGTATTTTGTAGTACTTTTATCGCTAGGCTCGGTAGAGTGTAACCGTCAAATGTTCAATTATAGTCTATTACTTATACCGAAAATCATTCATCTGATGGTGTTTAAGACCTTAATTTATTACAAAATGTTAGTCTTTGGGGAAACATTAAACTAAGGGCATTTAGATTTTGCTACACACATAGCCCTTTTAGAACAATATATAGTATTTCAACTCGTTTTTTAAACTTTTAACAGGGTTTTTTGAAATAACCACAGCGTTTTTTAAAATTTTTTGTAATCCTTAGAATGTCAGAAATAAATAGAAAAAACAACTTGATTTCGAATGAAAAAAGAAAAAGCCTTATAAAAAAGTTATTGAAAATGGATACAGCGTCAAGGATGCGGCATTTCTTACGGATGTAAACTATCAGGCCGCTACAAATATTATAAGGTTGTATAAAAAGGAATCGCGAGTTGAGAAGAAAAAAACAGGAAAACCATCAAATAAAAAGATATGCGGTGATATTATCAATTTTGTTGAAGAATTGATAGAATTAAACCCTATAGTTACATGCTTAACCCAATCGAATTCGCGTTTTCGAAAATTAAATCCATTGTAAGAAGATCTCTGGCGAGCGGATCCAACGTATCTTTTATAAATCTAATACTAAATTCTGTAAATCAATTAACCAGGGATGATTTACAAGGTTATTCAAGAAACATACGTCGCAATTGTTTAAAAGCGATTGCTAAAGAAGATTTTAACTAAAAGTAGTTCTTATTTTATTTTTTCAAAAAAATTTTAAAAAACGCTGTGAAAATTTTAAAAAATTTTTTGGTTATTTTAAAAAACGAGTTGAAATACTATATATAAGGGGAGAATATTACTCTCACTTAGATCATTATCAAGCTTTACTTTGGCATAAATGAATATTTATATGAAAATATTAAACCAATCAAAATAATTAATGAGCCACTGATAATAATAATAATGAAGTCGATTGTATAAGCACACAACATAATAGGCAAAAGTGTAAGTTGATAGCAGGAAGATAATAGGTGTGCTGCTACCAGTAAATAAAATAATGAATGTTCTTCTATCTAGTCCATCGTTTAACAATGGAAGCATTACACATTTAAAAGCTACTTCATCATATTATATGGTAAAAGAAAAGCAAAACATGAATACATGAAATTTCAAATAATGGTTAATAATATCATACTTTTGTTCGCTCATATAAATACAATAATAAAAATAATAAATAGTAGCTATGAAATAATATAGCCACGTATTTTTCTTTCACATATTACATTCTAACCTATACACATATGGTATAGAAACAAACGATACTAAACGATTGCCCAAACCTCCCTAAGTGGAATGAGAGAGAGAGTAAAATCGGAAAACAAGATAGTTGCAAGTTAAACGTTCAACTCTAATAGGCTACAACTTTCATTAATAATGATTAAAACTATGTCTAATGAAATGACAAATAGATTATCTTCCAATCTAAGCAAATTATAGTAAAATATATATATACAGATAATTGTTTTACGTTTTCTATATTTTTTTTTACCTGAGCAACATTTGAACGTCTAGTTGAAACATGTCGGGTAGATGACATTGATTGAGTATCTTCAGAAAAATGTTCCGAATCTTCAGGCACGTTACTTAAACCTAAAAATAAACAACTATTTATTAATTTAAGATTGGTTTGAAATTTGAAGTAAAATACGATTATATCAAATATCATGGACAACCTCAAAAAGAAAACGAATAGGGGAAATCAATTACTTTTAAGAGTAACCAAGGAATGCATTTTTGTAGGATTGAGGGTCATGGATCAGTGAGAAATATTTCAGTAATCGTAGTATAAATTTGTATTGATCGTTGCCGAAATTTTTGTCAACAGAGTAAGAGAGAAAGTCGTCGACATAATAAGAAACATGAACGATATAATGTCAACCGCAGAACCAGAACAAGTGTACAGTAAAAAAGATAGTATATACAGTAGTGAACAGTTAAAATATCTGATTGTTAACAATGCCACATAGGGGAAATATTGTACAAACCGTTTTTGTGGAATACATGATTACAAACGCTCAAACGCTAGATAATAATCTCGTGTTTAATCTAAAAATTGACATTGGTGATTCAGTTTCCGTTTGTAATTTATATCATGATGGAGAGGACAGTGAAATGAGATTGACATTATGCTTAGATACGGAAAAAATGCTACAAAATAGGTTTAAGTGTTGTCAGCAATGTAGATTGACTGGTGTCCCAACATGTATGCTAACATAGGATAAAAGAAATATGTTAAACAGTTCAAGAAGCCTTAAAATGAACATACACATATGGTCACTTGAGTTAATGAATCATCACCAGATTAGTAGTGAGTAGCAATTGATTAAAAGGCAATAAGCTGTAACCTAAGGTATCTACTTATTCAGTATTATAATTCACTTGTAGATACACCGGAAAAAAAAAACTATTTTAAGAGTTAAAACAAAAAAGCCAATTAAAAGGCATCACAGAAAGTAATAAATTCATTTCAGGGTAAATAAAATAATCACGTTACTTTAAGAAAACTAATATATTCATGTACCGGCAAGTATTTGGATTTAGCTAATTTAGCATAAATGAAATGTAAAATATTCCAGGTATACCAGAAAACCGTTAGACAAATAAATCACTAGAATTATAAACACGTGATAACGAGTAAAGCAAGTTAATTATTTTAAGAGAATATATTATTCAACTAAATATAAGATCAGAAAAATAAGATATGAAAAATGTTAGCTAGAATGCAGTAGATAATTTGACAAAGTTTTAAAATACCTTAAAAGATTCAGGAAAATAAGTGTAGGAGTCGGCTTCCACAGTTAACTAGTTAAACAACATAGTTAGTTATGAAAATAAATTTCATTAACATATCGTGTGCCATTGAAGTGATGAAATTCGTAAGATTACACAGTCACATTCACAGTAAAATGAATAAAACAAAATCAAAAAAAAAATCGCACATCACACCTTTAGCCGCCAATGGTTTCCAATGTCGTCCTAATGAACCTGTTGATCCCATTTGAAGCCAATTGAGTGCAAATGGATCATCAACTTGAGCTGTTCCTTCTATAAAAAAATTGAGACCATTTGATTTAAAAATATAAACGTTAGATTATATATAAACAAAAATGATTACAACAAAAATAGTTAGTATTAAAGAAAAAAAAGTTGAAGCAAAAAGATAGATATATGGTAGATTAAATGATGACCAAAATTAAGATTATGATGAGTAGAACAAAGAAAAAATTGTTATAACATTCATGTTCACATCGATAACTAAAATTTACATTGAATATGAGAGTAGTGAGAAAAAAAATTCATACTAACCAACCTCTTATAGTGCTAACAAAGTCGGAATCATCATATTCGAACACTTCATTAGTCCCTAGATTTGGACGTCGGATTATAGGTCTATGATTAAGTTCAAACATGCTTGAGCTTCGTTTACCCAAACGATCAGCCAAAAAATCTTGACCCTAAAGAAGAGAAAAGAATTGAGAGTAATGTACTGCATTAAAAACCAGTAGTAACAATATCATTAAAACTTTAAAGCTATAATGGTTAGGGTATATGATGTAGTCGAAAGAAATTGTAGGCAACCAATCAGAATCAAGAAAAACTGATACAAATATTGTAATAGTTGTGGAAAAATAAACCCTAAGGATGTCATTTAATCTAAAGGCAAACTTCCATGAACACTTGAGTACTGTAATACAGTGAGTAACCCCGCTATTTATCTTCAATTTATGTACAAAATGTAGCTTTCAATGTAGAAATGTTATTTCGAATTGCCGAATTGACGAGCACATCTGAGATGATGAAAAACGCAATTTTTAACGTGAAACTGAAAACATAAACCCTTTTAGTTTTGGAACTTTAAGTTCTCAGCGATCATTTAAGTAGTGTCTAATGAAATTACAACAAATGTTCCAGGTGGCCTAAATTCAGTACCATATACTAACTTATCTCTCCTACATCGTACAATCAACCTCATCAAATTTTTTTAATAGTTTCTGGAGAAGTAAATGTACCAGACAGTGAACATAGTTTCATAATTATGCAGCAAATAGAGATTATTTATATGCTATAACATTCAATCTAATCGACTGTTCATTTATTTTTCTTACTACCTTGGACGTGGACGACGTATGTTAAATTCTCTTCTTGTTCATTCACACACAGGAAACTATAAGTAATTAAAGTATGGACAAATTTTCGACGAATAATTATCTTTGAATGGTATCTGATAACCCGTTTGTAGGTTTTAATGGTTTATATTTATCCAAAATGTGAACCTGTCTCTCTGGCATTTTCCGAGTCTCTCATTACACGGGATTTAAACTTTTACATCGAGATATTAGTCACACCTTTTTGTTAAATTTATTCGCCATTGTACTTATTGCTAACTATAAAACAATTTAAAACATTAGCTCTGTTTTCCTGAAACTGTGTTATAGACCGCGAATCACTCTACGATATTTAAGTCTGGATTTAAATTAGAAAACAGGACCTGACGCGTATGAGCATCAGTTCAAGTTACCACATCACATTAGCACAGAGATAAAATTATCAAGACAAACCTCAAAGTAGTTCAGGTAACAGTTGTTGTAGTAATAGAAACTATGTACTGTCACTCGATAGTCCCAAAGTACTAAAGCGATGCTTCATTGACACCTATGATCAAGTACCAGTAACCTATAGGGAAGATTTGTCTTTAATAGCCATATTACAGACCCGTATCACAGCACCTTTAAAAAGCTAGGCACGCACCTGTAGGACAGAGAGAACTGTCCAGTGAACCCATCCATTAGTTAGTAGATGAATACCTCGCATACATCACAAATGACACAAATTAGAACAGATCAAATGAGTTGTGTTGCTTTAACAACGTTGTATATTCTTTAGTTAATTCCCTTTTTGTCATTGCTAAGCACAACCTAATATGAATTATATTGAAACTGGACGTAGGGTATTAATACGTCACGAAAGATGAGAGTAAATACCCATAATCTGATGGTCAATAGGGTTGAGGGCCGATATCAGATTTTTGTCTGATGAAGCAGTGAATCTTCATCAGTTGAGATGGTTGGGACATGTGTTACGTATGCCCAACCACCGACTGCCTCGACGAGCTATGTTTTGTGGTGCGGAGGTTGGCCGGAAGAAGGCTAGGCGCGACCGAACCAAAACATGGCACAAATCCATGAAGTCGCTGACAAGTGGACTGAATCATGTTGGTGATTGTAGACTACTAGGTGGGGGTCCGCGAGACGATAGTAACCGATGGTCAGAGACATTGAATAACATGGCTCAAAGTCATTTGCAATGACACAGACGCATCCACTCTTGTATTCTACCAAATTCTAATCTGAATTCTTCATGACTTTAGTCTTTTTTTCTCGAATTTATTTCACTACATTATACTCTCTGAATAACATCTTCAAACCCTAATCTTTCCGATTACTGCTCGTACTTTTACTACCTCTACCATTATGGAATTTGAGTTGACAATTGCGTGTGTTAACGTGGTATGGCAACTCGAACTGATGTACGAAATTACAAAGTTCTACGTTGGTGCTGACTGACTGATCAATTCAGTTTCCTGAAAATGTGCCCAGATTTAGTTGAACAGCTCATCTGGACTGAAAAAGTCCTCAAAAAAAAGTGGAACTATAAACCAAGAAGTTAACGACTTGAGTAATGGTTTGAGCTGTTCAGATGTCTATAACGAAAGACTGAGGTGCACGGGATAACTTTTCAATGGTTGGAGACTGCGTGACATGCCTAGTACTCATCTGAACGACATATGAGCATTTTGGGTCAAATACATGCACCCTAACAGAAGGAAGAATGAATTAGGAAGAAGCGCTGGAAGCCGACAGAACACACTGCAAAAAGCACTCGACTGATTCACATATCAAACCCTCACTTGGAACCCTCAAGTGATAGGAAAGAAGGAAGGCCAAGGAACACATTACGTCAAAAATGGAGACAGATACGAGAATGGGAAAAAATGGACAGGATTGGAAACGGAAGCCCAGGACAGAGTTGATTAGAGAATACTGGTCGACCGCCTATGCTCCGTTGGGGGTAACAGACGTAAGTAACACACACCCTTACTTCTACCTTACAATATTAGCACCTAGTAATCTTTTTATACGTCGAATAGCGGCGCGTGTCAGGTATAAAAGTTTCGGACTACTCAGATATCGGCCTAAATTACGCTATTGTCAAGACTACACTATACATATTTCATCAGTTTACATGATGGCAATAAGAGATTTCGATTAGTATAATTGGTCTATATTGGGAAGTTTGTTTCACTAACTGGGAAACTAATAACCTGACTTCATGGAGATATCGGTAACGGTTTAAAACATGAGTTTAACGGTATTAATTTGTGACGGTCTTATTGCAGACAGCCAAATCTTTCATTACAAATGAATATAGACCGTTATAATTATCTTATCTGAGTACAAACTATCACAAATAGTGACATAAGAATTAAATGATGGGAGCATGAATGCTAACAAACTATGGAATTTTCGGTAAACAAACACCTAGTCACTTAAGAATAGTATTAAAAATACTAGATAAAAACAACAATTAATTCAGCGCAGAAACATACCAACATTGCACCGGAAAGAACAGCCTTTGCAGCGTAATTTAGCCCTTTAGCTCCAAATTCCACGACTTTAGAATATCCTTTTTCTTTTGCCTTGTTAATAGCCTCATCTATTTCCTGAGAAAGTAAGTACGTGTATGGAACATACGGTTTCTCTCTTAGTAAGCTCAGGATGGATTACTTTTCGGTATATAAAACTATATCCAGAAGTAGCTGGTGTGACGAGCCAGATGACGAATAAAGTCTTTGCATCGTAATAAAATGGAAGCCTGGTACTAATTAATATTACGAATGAATATACCATTGCAGTAAAATATCCGTCACCAGTTCAACAGTTATATACATACTGAACACCACCCAGTACATGCCAAGAGTCACCTTAATTTTCCAGTAAAGATTTAAAAAATTACAGCATACATACCACTTCTTGATAGTCTTTCCTTTTAATGGCTTTGTAAGTTCTGTAGGAGGGGTGCATAACTCCAAAAACAGTTCTGAGCATGAAAGAGTGACATAAACAGCTTACATAATGAGCCTTGCGAAAAGCGCTGGCAACATCAGTTAATCCGCTTGAGCATAAATTTCAGGGTGACCCGTATCAACTCGAACCAGACGACCTACTGTGTGGCGCAACAGTCGTCAGTCGCGGCTTAATGAATCAATTTAAATTCGAGTTCCAGTATCTTTTTAACGAGGCAGTTTAAACCAATTGATTTCTATGCGCTTGATTCTTGTTCGTTTGGTACCCTTCCAGGTATATGGTAATGTCCATTAGGTGGTAGTCTCGCAACGCGACTGCACTATTTCTAGTCGTTGACTTTGTGATTTCTGTTGTACTTTCCGTGGTTTCGGTGAGTCCGTTTGTTTTAAGGCAGTAGGGATTTAATACCAACAGCTATCACATTATCATATTACGGTGAATATTAAAGAGAAAAGTCTAATGGTAATTATATTTTTGAGAGGAACAAATATGTAAGGTAATTAGTTGTTAGTTAAGACTCTGTGAGAGGACGTAAGTGTGAACAAAGAAGAAGTAACAGAGATATTGGGACAGGAAGAACGAATTGATTATCTGATGGACTAATAACAGTAACAACTGGCAAGTTTCAATGCAGTTCCAAGCGGGATCTGTGATATTCCATATGCAAGTACGTGCTCATCATGTCTCTTCTTGAAGCTATCCACTGGAGGAGCTTTTATCACTTGAGCATGGAGATCATTCCAAAATGCTTCAACTGTTAATGAGCACGTACCTAGGTTTTAACCCTTTCAAATTCTATTTTTCGAGGGTTTCCTCCAGGAATGTAGTTGTGATGTCTCGGAAAGATGTTTGTGTTTAGATGATTGGGATTCGATTCTCCTGTAGCCCAGCGGAGACAATTAGATGTGTTGGAGCGTGTTTGTGTTAGGTTAAGTTACTCATCTCAGCAGTCGATCCCAGAGATTTACGTCTCTCCTGAGAAGAGTATCTGATGAGACCTTGTGAACTACAAGCTGTAACCGTATCTTTTAGAGAGAGTTAACTTCACTTGAAACCCCTCTAGGGCTACTGCTGGTCCTGAGCCTAGTCAAGGAGGAGTGGTGGGAATTATGTTAAACGACCTCATATTGTAGAAAACTAACTCGCTAAACACGACAGTCAGAAAGAATTATTCAAACCATGTGAACTCTAACCTGGAAGTTAGGTCTCCATTCAGAAGAGTTATGACGTCTCTTAATGAAAGCCGAATTCCTTCAGAATTCATGAGGCTGAAGCCCCTTCCCACAACCATTTAAGTAATGGAATATTCGCAGTATGTAAGAAACCCGTAGTCATACAAGAAGCTCCAGAAATACAAATATAAGACTTTGAGGTGCTTAGAATAAGTGGAACGCATTGAACGCATATTTGGCAACTGGGACTAAATTCATAAGAGCTGCTGTTATACTCTGACCACGAAGAAGAAAATGCCTAACACACAAGGAGTTTCACTGATGCTTTCAAAACATGTACAAGAAGCAGTGATGGAATGAGAATTTCGTGGACCCAGGAACATCAAAGTAACCTTCAAAACAGAGAAAGAGGTCGTTACAATGAACGTCATCCAGTGCTATGCACCTACAAACGAATTCGATGAAGACGTTAAAGATTAATTCCACGAGAAGCTGTGGTCAATCGTTGACAGATGCTCATCAAAGGATTTGATCATTTTGATGGAAGATCTAAATACCAAGGTTGCCAACGACAGCAGTTGATGTGAAGATATCATAGGACGGCATGGACTGGGAGAAAGGAAAGAAAATGGTTACATATTTGCAAAATTGTGTGCCTGCAATAAACTGATCATCTGCGGAACAATATCTTCACACAAACTCATTCACTAAGTTATGTGGATTTCACCAGATCACACTACTCAGAACTAAATCGACGATATTTGTATAAATTAAAAGCTCAGAAAGACGATGGCGGAGAGAGGAGCTGATGCAGCCTCAGATCATCACTTACTGGTCACCAAAATAAAGGCGAAACTCAAGAAGTACTGGATAATCGGGCGGATAACATCATAAAAGTTCATTAGGCCTTTCTTTGCGATGCTGGAAAGCCCAACAAACTCAAGATAGCCCTGAACAATAGGTCCAATCCTATCACGATTTACTCAATCGAGAACAACTTGAAAGTGATGAAGGAGACAATCACTTCAGCATGTTATGAGGTTCTTGGCTACAAGAATTATTATTACAAGGAACAGATCAATGTTAACACACTGACTAGGATTCGAGAGAGGAAGAACAAGAAGTTAGCAATCAACATCAGCCAAACAAGGGCGGGAATGTCAAGGCACCATTGAACTCATCCATGGTCGAAGCAGCATCCACGTGCCTGTCGATGATTCTTGGCCCACCGACAATTGAAGAGATAGGAATGGTCCAAGGAATGGACAAATCAAGAGCGGCAAAATGCAGGACCAGACAACTTCCAGCAGAGGCAGTGTAAGCAAAGATATTCCACACTGTCCGAGAATAGATAATATAGAATACAGTTAACATCAAACAGAATTCTTATGATGGATCAAGGTGCAAAATTGTGCATGGAGGACAGCTGACAGACTAGTTCGATGTAAACACCGATGTCAGGCTAGGTTGCTTTCACTCACTCTCTCTCTTTCTCCTGATGACCGACTGGATTATGAAGACGTCAGCATCTGGAAGGAAACTCGAGATACAATGGACGACTAGGATGTAGCTAGGTCGTCTGGCTTTTCTATCATCCATGCAACATAGAATTCAAGAGAAGACGACCAGAGTAGCAGCACACTCATCAGCGTTATTTCTTAAAACACACAATGGGAAAATGTTGAATTCTACTGCTACGAGGGCTTGGCCAATCTGTAGGTGTGGTAGTCAAAATATCACCTCACTTAACCTAATCAGTAGGGCTCGCTATGTCCCTTCAAACAAGTATTTTGTATAATTCGTGTTCACCCGGCACCAGCTGTGTGCGTTGTGGTTTTAAGGCCTTTAAATGGCTGTCTCTGTTAGGATGACGACTATCAAATCCATCTGAGATCACATATTTCTAATCTCCTCCAAGTTCCTTTCCAGCCATTTTAAGTTGCTGTATAGGTGGCATCACATACTTAATTACCTACGCCTGTTCCCCCGATGGAGCATAGGCCGCACACTAGTTTTCGCAAACCAACTCTGTCCTGGGCATCCCTCTCCAATTCTTTCCAGTTCTTATTCATTCTTCTCATATCTTTCTCCATTACTTGACGTATATTGTTACTTGGCCTTCCACTTTTATCTTGACATTTAATAGCTCTGCATACAATTTAAACACAATGAACTCAGTGCTGCGTCTTATTTAGTTATTTTTACACTCCCAAGTAGCACTAATTTTTCTAGTTGAATATAAATCTCTTTAGTTTTTATTTGAAATAGACAGGTTACTCTACTAACTGGGTCGTTCGACACTGTTCAACTGTAAACTGGTTGATTAGAATGCACTCTACTCTCCTGGGCGCAACCTTATCAACACTTACAACTGTGTGAGTTTCACATTGCCTATTATCAATTATACTGTTCTCACTTACACGCTATTGACTTACCTTGGCCCCTTAGTGTTATCTATTGCTCCGCTTTTAACCGCGATACTCTTTATATCTCCTGCTTAGCTAGTTAAGTACATCTTCCCCACTACATTCAAAATGCTTATATCTTCTTTGAAAATTCTTACTATTTCTCCATAACTGTTAACTGTATAGCATTGATGCCTAACCAATAGCTCATAAGTTGTAATAGCCAGACGAGTTTGTGAAAGGAACTTGCAGAAATAGTGTTTCTCAACAGGATGCGAGACATAGAACACCAAGTAGAACTCAATAGCTTCTTTTAAACATTTAACATGAGCCTAACAACACAAAAGGAGGGAGGGTGGAGTTACTGACCAGCAAACATTGATGGTATGGGCGATAACTTCAAACAACCCATGTTTGTGGGGCAGAACATTTTGTTTGCTTTCGGCTCTTTAGATTGATGAGACGACTAATCAGTAACACTGAGGTTGCTCTTATACGCTTGCTACTTCTGTGGTTCATGTTTCCAAAACTATGCTGAGGTCGCTATTCTGTCGAGACACCTGCAACATTCTTACTCAGGCGCTTACAGTATGACTTAGAGGTTGGCATTCAATAATAAAGGAAAAAAAAACAGTTAGACAGTGCGAGATTTTATTCCTCAAATATTTATTTTTACAAACTCTACTGTTTTAATTAGAATTTCGATTTCAACGTACATAAATCCAGCTTCTTACTTCGACTTCTCTTCTATCCACCTGACACTGCACAACTCTCCCTTCTTTTTGCTGTACTCCTTTATCTGTGCGTTATATTCTTATATTCCCATAATTTACTTTAATTTAAGTGGTCAGTATGAATTTTATCTTGACTTACTACTGTATTGACTACTTCAACATGACAGGTTAAGTAGTGCTTTGGTTATATATATACACTTGCCACACTGCTGCCTTTTCCTCTCTCTCTTCTCCTTTTCAGAACCCCATTCACGGTGGGAAGTCCTTGGCAACTCTAGGGAACATGCACCCAATGTACATGACTGTCTGGATCACAGCTCGTATCAAGCGCGTTCCATATGACCTTTCCCAACAAATTCACTGTTGATCTCGGCCAATCGCCAATAGAACCTATTGTGCACCTTCCTCATTTGTACTCTAATATTGAAAATTTGGCTGTATAATACTGTTTCTGTCAGTGATATGGTGTAAATATGCAATCAGAAACTGTCTCTTATACTTAATTTAACTGCTATAACTTTTACAGTAATTGTAAAAGCATTTGTGACAATTTGATCTAGCCTGTAAACTGGCGTGACTCTTGTAACTTAGTTATTTGAGAATAAATTATTATTATTATTATTATTAATAGATAATATAGAATACAGTTAACATCAAACAGAATTCTTATGATGGATCAAGGTGCAAAATTGTGCATGGAGGACAGCTGACAGACTAGTTCGATGTAAACACCGATGTCAGGCTAGGTTGCTTTCACTCACTCTCTCTCTTTCTCCTGATGACCGACTGGATTATGAAGACGTCAGCATCTGGAAGGAAACTCGAGATACAATGGACGACTAGGATGTAGCTAGGTCGTCTGGCTTTTCTATCATCCATGCA